AAAAAAAAAAAAAAGAATAGAGACGGGGGTGGGGGGAACGGGGGGAGGAAGAAGTGTGTGGAGGAGGGGGATGCAGGGGCAGGAGGGGGACACAGGGGTGGGAGGGGGTATTTCAGAGACATGTAGGTGGGAGAATTCACAGGACTTGATGGGGAGGAGGGGAGTCAGGAATGACACCAGATCTACAGAGTCACCAGTTGGGCGGGTGGTGGAACTGCCCTGGGACAGGTGACCAGGAGGTGGGGCAGGTGTGTGAGGGAAAGATGAGGAATTCAGCTGAGGGCCTGGTGAAGCTGGCGGGCCTTGGGACACGCCCTGCCAGGCTGGGAAGAGACTGGGGTTGTAGGTAATGATCTGGGAGCCCTCAGGCAAAACGGGAATGGGTGAGACCACTCAGATAGAAACGTGGAGAGAGGGACCCAGGCAGGACCCTGAGAAACAGCCACATCTAGTGGACAGATGGCAGAGGAGAGGCCTGCACCGGGGAATGTCCGGTGGCCTCACCAGAGAAGGAAGGAGTGTTTCCAGATGGAAGGAGGGGGACCCGGTGACAGACAGGGCAGTGGCCCAGACATCTGGACTTAGCAGCACAAAGGGCAGCAGACTGCAGATGGCTGAGGACGAAACAAAGGAAGTGATGACAGCTCTCTGAGAAGTGGGGAGAGGTGTCAGTAGGAGAAGCCGAAAGGAGGCTGAGAGGGAGAAAAATAGGTGTCAGAGTCAGGGGAGTGATGGGGGACTGAGTGAGGAAGAAGCGTCAGAAAGTGGGATATTTGAATTTAAGCGTTCATGCCGGGAATTCCCCAGCGGTCCAGTGATTAGGACTCAGAGTTTTCACTGCCAGGGACTGGGTTCGATCCCTGGTCGGGGGAGTTCACAGAAGGTGATGATAATAAGGGCTAGGCCATAGGAGCGGATGGCCAAGGGGACAGAACTGCCGTGTCAGGAGACTGGATACATTGTCCATACCAGGGTGAGGCCATCCTAGGGGAGAGAGGAAAACAGCAAGGACCATGGCATTCACTGAACGAGGGGGCACACGTGGATGAGGCAACTAGAAGGTGGCTGACCCCTGGGATATGCCTCCCAGAGTTGGTCTTTTTCAAATGTGGGGCAGCCGAGGCCTCGGGAGAGGAAGCGACTTGCCGAGAATGACGGCACAAACTGGAGCCCAGACATCCCGGCTGAGTGGCTGGTACCGTGGACCTGTACCTGAACCTCCTCGCTTCTGTGTAGCCCCAACTCAACTGCCTGGGCGCCTGAGGGGGGCCTGCAACTACTGTATTGTGATCATTAAATCTCTCTCCTTTCAACACAGTCACCACCCTTAATCTTCCAGGGTGGGGAAAGCCATTTTCTGGGTTTGGTTAGGAAACGAGCTCTGAAAAGCCCTGGTAACTGTGACTTACCTTCTGCTTCTGCCCAGACATGCTGTGCTCGGGGGTGGGGGCGTGGCTAACTGGCTTAAAAGGTTTCTAAAGGATGTGCAGTCAGGGTTCAAGGGTGAGAACGAAAGCGAATGACTCTGCTGCTGAAAGAATGTTCATCTGTGAGGCAACTACTGACGTTTACAAAGTGTTTTCTTCCTGTTTTCCAGTCCACTTTTCCAGCTGCTTGAGGTGTGGAAGCCACACTATATGCTTTTTGAGGACTTTGCTCCCTGAAATCCCGTGATCTCTTTCCTGCAGCCATGGGAGCGGGTGGTAATCAGACCCTGGGCTTTTCCGCCGCCCTTTATTAGGGCAGTAACCAGGGGGAAACTGGCTTAGTCTGCTCTTAAGTGTCCTCCTGGATTAAAAGGTATCGTCCTGGCTCTCAGCACTGGCCCCTAAAATGCGTCTTGCAGTATAAATGGGTTTGCCCTGGCATCTGCTAACGTTTACTCTTCCAATTGTCAGAAAAGTTGGACTGGTTGACACGAGCGGAATTTTTCTCTCTCTTTTTTCTTCCGTTTGGATAAATGTGTCACGGTCCAATGTTGTGACAGATGGAAAAATCCTATGTAGGGCACGCAGGAAGTACTCTGAGGGCCCGTGTGGCACGGTGGGTTGATAGGAACCCATCTCTTCTCTTAGTGAATTATTCACGTGTACTGCCCTAAAAGACCGTTCCTGTTTGAAGGTCTCGGTTGTAAAACCGGAGAGTTCACCATTCCCGGGGAGAGGTTCCCTGCAGTCTCGGACGGAAGGAGCCAGAGGCACCGCAGAAACACTTTCTCCTCCAGTGCTCTGCCCACTAACAGCTCTCGGCGCGCCAAGCATGCTGCACCCGGGTTAGGACCCGGCAGGTCTCGCTGGGACTTTGGGTGAGGGTGCAGTCTGGGCGACCAGCTCCGGGGCCCGCTCTGCCTGGTGCCACCGTCCGCCCGGCAAACTCGGGCGTGGCCACCCACATCTCCCCGAACAGAGCCTCCCTTACACCCTTTCTCCCCACGCCCCCCGCTGCTCCCCACCCCCCGCACACCCTGCAGTCTGATAACGGGATCCCACCCCACCGCCGGGTCAGTGACCGGTCCCGGACGTTCTCCGGGGCTCACCCTGGAACCCCGTGCTCCCACTCGGCGCTCAGACCCCCACACCTCGGGCCAAGCAGGGCTCACCCTGACCTGGACTTGCTGGCCAGACCCAGGGGGCAGAGAAAGCGCAGCCTCCCCGTTCTGTCGCCAGGGCCCAGGGCGCTCGTGCGGCCGGCGGGGCGGGAGAGCGAGGGATGCCCAGGCTTCCGGCTCTTCTCGCCGCCGCGCGCGGATCCCTGCTCACTGCTACCCGCGGCGCGCCCAGGGAGCAGGAGACGTGAGCAACCTTTCGCGGGTTTTTGGTGCCCCGGCGGGAGCAGCATCCACGCAGCTGGGACCCCCGGGCCCCCCGCCCCCGTAGGGGCCTCAAGCCCCGCCCCCGCCGGCCCGCAGTGTCACGTGGCCCACAGCGCCCCCGCGGGCCGGTCACGTGACGGCGGCGCACCGTTGCCCGGGCAGCGGCTGCGGCGGGCCGGCGGGGGGCGGGGCAGCTGGCGGGGGCGGGGCCGGGGGACCCCGAGGGACGGGCGGAAGGAGGGTGGGGGCCGCGCTCGGCGCCCCGGCCGGGCCACAGGGCCACTGGGCCACACGGCCACACGGCCACGCCAGCGCCGCCTGCCGCGAGCCCGAGCCGGAGCCGGGCCGGGCGGGCAGAGCAGCTCGGTGAGTGCTCGCCGCGGGGGGTCTGGCGGGGGACTGGAATTGCACCAGGAGACTCGACGGGGGAGGGGACCGGCTTCCTCCTGGGCAGGCCTGGGACGCGCGACGTCTGCGGGGTTGGGAGGCGGCCAGGTGACCCCAACCCCGCGGGCTCCCCGGGCAGGGTGCGGCGCCGAGAGGACTCAGGTCGCGGGTGCGGGCAGAATGCGGGTCCTGCGGCTGCTGGGGCTTCCTGAGGGGAAGGGACAGGGATGCAGGCGGACTCCTCTAGGAGACCCAGGGGAGCAGGAGGGGCTGGGCCCCCGCCCTGCACGGGTGTGACAAAAAGAGAGTCAGAAATAGGCGTTTCTGCGTGGCACTCGCCATTGCTCGTGCCCCAGATGTTTAAAGGAAGTTCAGACAGGCAAACCCCAAAACCTACCGCCCGGAAATGTTTCCAACAGCCCTGCCAAGGAGAATAGCTAATCTTTAGAGAGAGCATCACTGTTATGCTACAAGACCTCTTTTCTCTGACTGCCCCTTATATGAAACCAAAAAACCCACAAGGTTCAGCCAGGAGAGCATCCTTTGGAGCCTCTGCCACCTGACAGAAACGCAGGGCTCCATCTTGACCCACCCCACCCCCTGCCTGAGCCCAGCCCCGGAGTGTGAGGACCAGACTCTGCCCCTGGAGTTGGGGAGGCAGGGGGAGGAGGCCTGGCCCAGGGTAGGACGCTGGGGCTGGAAGGGTGCGGATGGATCTGAATCCAGTCTGGGCTGCTCCCTCTGCAGGAAGTGGCTTCTCTGTCTTCAGGACCCACAGGCCTGCCTCAGGACCCAGGCTCCAAGCAGACAGGCAGCCCTTCCTTCCCAAACCCTGCCACTCGAAGGACATCTGCAGGGCTGAGGCCGGCCTGCCTATTGCCCAGAGGCCACCATGGCCCAGAGGCCACCGTCAGACCTCACTGCCCATGAAGCTCTCCACTTTCCAATTTGAGCTCAGCTCTCATTCATTGAAGGTCCCTGTGCTTCCCTCTTCTTCACCCCATACATCCCTTTGGAGGCCACCAGGCCCTCCTGCCCCTCCCAGTCAGCCAAGCGTTTGAGCACACAGGCCAGACTGAGCCTGCATTGTTCCCTCACCAGCTCTGTCCAAGCCCCTGCATCCGGGCACCTCCAGAGCAAGTCCAGCACAGTCATACTTTCCAGGCTCCACGTACTCTCTGCATCCTGCCTTCCACCCCCGTTTCCCTGACCCCCTCTGCAGCTAGCTTTTCTGCCCTGCCTCTCAGAAGCTCCCATGTGGGCAGCGTCTTGTCTTTGAGGGAGGGTCCCACTTTGCCAATGCTACCTTCACTACCTATGTCCTTGTCCCTGTCCTGGCTCCCTAGCAGGGCCCCTCTCCTGGGTCAAGAGTAGAGGCAGCCAGCCCCTCCTGCACTCCCTCAGCCCTCACACCCCCTCCACTAAAGCAGCATTTAACTCACTGGATGAGAATCCCCCTGCCCTTATCTCACTCCCCCACGGGACATCCTCACCTTTCATCTTTGATCCTTAAGTACCAAATGCAGTCTTACCTTCGGGCTCAGGAAGCATTTATTGGATGCAGGATGGAGAGACGGATCCTCTGAGGGGGCAAAGCTTGTGCCTTTCACCCCACCACACACTGGACAGTGTCTTCATCATACCTGTGGGCTCACTTCTGATACGTAGGGGGAGAAAAAAAGAAAAAAGTGTATTTCCAAATGACGCCATTCTCAGTTATTTGAAGCCAGCCAATGGATTGGTTAGTGAACAACATTTCTCTGAATCCTCCCCAAGGGACGGGACATTCCTGTGATTGAAGTGCTTGCAAGCAGTGCTGCTGGCTGCAGATGTGGACGGGGTGACCAAGGTTCCCAAGTCGGCCCTCCTGTAAATGACCTAGTAATTGGCATCCCAGGCAGAAATAGAAGAGCACAGAACTGTTTCCCGGGGCCCTATTGGCTGGTAAAAGCCGAGCCTCCGCAGCCTGGTGGAAGACAAAGAGGAAGGCACCCCAAAAGAGAGAGGCCTTCCCCGCCCCTAGGACCTTCCCAGAGAATCCTTTTAGGGATTGGCGTGGACAGATCAAGTGTGGGGCATTTCCTCAGCCGCTGACCCTGGTGAACACCCCCTACTCCGCCCACCCACCCCCAGCCAGGCTCCCTGGAACCTGGGAACACTGCTCTGTTTTGTGGTAGCCTTAAGAAGGCTTTTCACGGGGCCTATGCGGGCTTGAAGGTACAAGTTAATGTCTGATGCCAAGTGAGCTGTGAGGTGCCTGTGCCCTGGAAGCCTGCCCTGCAGATTAATTCGAGCTGATCCCGCGGGCTGCTGCACGGGCCGGCCCCTTGGGCCACGCAAGACCGCCAATCCCCTATTTGGATTAGTGGAGGTTTGGGTTTAAATTCACAAATCTCGACAGATCAGCCCTTCTGATCTTCATCGTGTGTTACTGTCAAACCAGATGTCTACTGGGATACTCGAGGGGTCTCCAGCCTCCATTTCTCGGAACAAAAACAAAAAAACCCCACAAAAAACCATGCTCACGTCAATTGGCCAATTCAGTTTTTCATTTTGCTGAAGGTTTCCATTGCAGCCTGGATGTGGCCTTAGTTATACAAACCAGGTATTTTCAGGGCGAACTGTGCTGATTAAAATCTAAGTTGGATTTGAGAACCTAGCGGCTGCTTGGAAATGTTGATTTCATGGTTGGCACCTGGCCATTGGAAAGCAGTTTTGGTTCCACTCTCTTGTCTAAGAGCCCGGTAGGGTGGGGATGTCCCTAGGTGAAGATAAGCAGGTTGGAAAGGTCAGGTGTCACGCTCACATGGCAGGGTCAAATCCAGAAGTTTAGGTCCTAAAAGCTTCCTAACTACTACAGCTCCCTACTCCCTGAAGATAGGTGCCCCTCTGAGGAGTCTTTAGGTGCTTTTGGTCAACCTTGGAATTCCATTCACCCAAGAGCCACACTCAGTTGGAGCCTTTCTGAGCTCGGGGTGGGAGGCCAGATTCCTGCTTTGTGGAGGAACACTGGATGCTGCGATGGTTGCCGGAGATGCACTCCTGCCCCTCCTTTCCTGCAGGTGGTTCCCACGTTCCTGTGTGAGGACTGCCTCAGAGGCCAGGGCCCCATACCCGTGCACCTCTGGATCCCATGGCCCTGGCACAGGGTGTATACAGTGGGCCCCCAGGGAAAGTTAAAGGGACTTGGATTCTGGCTTTTCCAGGCCCCGGGAACCCTCTGGGATGCCTGAGTGTGTCTCTGCTGCCCACAGGCTGGCTCCCACCATGAGCGCCGAGCTCAACGTACCTGTGGACCCCTCCACTCCCGCCTGCTCGGAGCCCGGCCACAAGGGCATGGATTACCGGGACTGGGTCCGCCGCAGCTACCTGGAACTGGTCACCTCCAACCACCACTCTGTGCAGGCCCTCTCCTGGAGGAAGCTCTATCTGAGCAGGGCCAAGCTGAAGGCCTCCAGCCGGACGTCCGCCCTCCTCTCGGGCTTTGCCATGGTGAGTGGAAACACGTGGTGGGAAACACAGCCTGTGAAGTGGGCTTTTGCTAATTGAAATCCTGTGGTGCTTCAGGGAGCAAAGCACTCCCTCCGGGCCCTGCTGACAGCCAGGATGGACCGTTAGTAAGTCTCTGCCCAGGTCCCACCTCCTCCAAGGGGACTGCTCTGGCAACTGGAGGGGTGGCCTGGGGCATCCAGGGGAGTCCCCAAGCCCCAGAGCCCTCAGAAAGCCCACTCTCACCTTCACATACAGTATTTACTTGGCAAGGAAGTTAGTGGGGTAATTAAAATAGCTTCAGGGTACAAGGTTTCCCAGGGAAAAGTCCCGACATCTGCACATCTCAGGCACCACCCAAGAGTTTGGGAATTTGAGCAGAAACTGTGGCATGGGTTGCGTTTGCTCAGTTTAGCCCAGCTGGGGACACAGATGCTCCCTGAATGTGGTCTCTGGGGTGACAAAGCAGAGCCTCTGGCCTGACACCCGGCTGCCCGGCTGTGCTTTCCTTCTGAGTCATCCCCCAGGACAAGAGTCTGTCTGGGGAAAAACCGTGGGCCCTGAAAAAGGGCCACATCCCCTGTTGACTTCAAAGCCTGCAGACCTTCATCCCTTCAGGGGATTGTCCCAGAGAGGGGGGAATGTCAGGATTCCGGATTCCCAGCGAGAACTGCGGCCGCCCCTCCTTTTTCTTTCTCTGTTGTCTGCTCAGAGGTCCTATTGGGCTGGAAGCCATTTTTTTTTTAATGTAAAAACAATTGTTTTTCCATATCCCAGAGCCTCAGCTGTCAAATGGATACGCAGAAAATAAAAAAGCTGTCCGAGCGAGCCAGTGCGGCCACTTCCATGACAAGGGCCTGCCCGTCATCGGCACTGGTCACCCGTGGAAAAATGAGACCTCCTGTAGTCAGGGCGTGACCTCAGGCAGGGCAGGGCAGAGGTCACCACGTCTAGAGGGCAGTCAGTTTGGGTTGAGGTCTGTAGTTCAAAGCAAAGGCTTATTTACGTCCTGCATTTTATTGCTTAAAACGTAATTACAAAAGTGTACAATCATATGGGACATAACTTTGGCTCAAAATGATTTCCTTCCATCACATTAAAAGAGGAACATTTTCTCAAGCTTAACTTTAAGAAATAGCAAGAGAAGTTTAGACGTCATCATTAAAATTAGATCTTGTTTTCTACCCTCCCAGTAGGGTATAATGCATAGTAATACTCTGCATGTACTGCATTGAATTTTTCTGGCCTATATTTATTATTATATATTTTTTAACTTTGGAAAACTAACTGAGAAGTACTGCATGATATAATGAAGTAGGACGGTTTCCTTTCTGTGCGGGGCCTGGGTCTCGGAAATCACTTCCCGTCTGCAGCTGTCCCTTGAGACCCCGGTCTTCCAAACATTTGGACTTCCAAATTTAGGGAAGAGTCTGCTCACCCGAGTTTGAAGGCTACAACACCCCTCATTAAAATTTGCAAACAAGCCCTGTGAATAAAGCTGTAAAGCAAAGAGTGAATTCTGGAGGAGTAGTTTGAGACTTAATGGCAGCGTTCAGGGGTGTGAAGTGGCCTTAGAATGAGGACAGTGCCCGTTGAATAATAATAATAATTCATTATTATTCATTCAATAATAATGAATTATTATAATAATTCATTTCTTCAGCATTTATGGAGTATCTCCTCTGTAGCAAGTGCTTCCTTAAGCCGTTGGGGATACATTTCAGAAGCCACAGACCCCAGTAAATCAGATAATTATTCAGACTGCAGAGCAGCCCAGGAGAAAGAAGTGATGAATACAGATCGTCAGCTAGTATCAGCATGTCCACTGTGGAAACCATAGCTGAATAAGGGCAGGGACGTGGGAAAATGACCAGGCCGTTCTGTAGGTAGAGTTCCCTCTCCATATTATGTATTCCCTAATTAGAATTGCAGAGCTGCTCCTTCTTCCAGCAAGTGCTTATGCCTGACCTTAAGCTTATTTCTTCATGTTTATCCTGCCCCTAACACAGAGAACCAGTGATCCAGGACCCCTTCATAAAAATCTTTGCATAAATACACTGAAAAATGGCCTTTGGCCTTTTCTCCTCTTGAGGTGGAACAAAACTGCTTTCCTCATAGGCCTTTTAATCGTCTTTGTTTCTCATCTCTGCACCCTCTGAAGTTTACAACGTCCTTTTTTGTTGGGCCATATCCTTTGTGGTCACAAGAGCCTACCCAGGCTAAAAGGGCACTGAGAAAGGACCACCCCTCCTCTCAGTAGTGTGGCTGCTGTCTCTTTGGAGCAATAATCACTGCTGAGTTTCTGTTCAGCTGTGGTCCACTAGGACTGGCATATCTTCTTTTTACCTACCAAATGTTCCATCTTCACTGAAGACGGAGTGAGAGGATGAGGTCCTCACTCTAAGAGGCAGTAGTTGCTAGAAGTTATGAAATGTTTCTTGTAAATTTTTTAAAACAGGGATGGCTCTGGGAGTTCCCTGGCGGTCCAATGGTCAGTGGTTGGGACTTGGCGCTCTCGCTGCTGTGGCCCCGGGGTTCCCACGGGATTGCCCCGTGACTCCTGAGCTGGGCTGGTGGCAAGTTGGGGAACTAAGATCCCCAAGACGTGCAGCACGCCCCAAAACAAAACAACAAAACAAAACAACAACAACAAAAAAGGGATGGCTCAGCTCTAGGAGACAAACAGTGTGAGTGGAAAAGCCTTCTGGCTTCTCTCTGCCTCCCTGTCCCCCCTTCCTTGACGGGTGTGGTTTCTTACCTTTGGGTGCCTGGAAGAAGGCCCTTGGTGAGCCTGGACTAAACCCTCTACTGGGGTTGGTCCACAGAGCTGGGGTGGGATGTGGGCTGCAGCGGAGTGGACTGGGTGTGACCTGGGGAAGCGTGGCAGGAGCCTGGCGCCCGGTCTGGACTTTGAAAGCCCCTTAGGGCTCGTGGTGAGCATATCCCAGCCTAAATAGACACTCACTGCTACAGAGATAAGCAGGGGCTTCTGGTCCTTCTGTGAGCCTTTTATTCCCTTTCATTTAAAAGTCGTTTTTATTTTTTCAAAGTTAGCACATGCGCAGTTTAAAATTAAGTACTGCAAAGGGCTTGTGACAAACCCTGGCAGCCCCTCCACCTCCACATCTCTAATGATGTTTGGGAATTGCTGTCTCTTGACTTACCCTTTTTACATATTTCCTGTTGGCCTCCTGCTCCCGTCGATTCAGCTCAGTTGTCCCAGCCCAGCCCCTTCCCAGCTTCCCCTCCTCACCGTCATTTCTATGACCATTCCCGGCCTTTGGAGACGTGGCTGCTCGCTCCCGCTTTTGGCCTCAGCTGAGAGGCACCCTGTGGCTTGTGTGAGGCCGTCCAGTGTGTGGCTCTGAGCCTAGAGACCGTCAGGAGCCTCCATCATTACTTCTTTTTACCTCTTGAAAGGTCAGGTTTGTTTTTTTGAGAAACATCAGTTGTTTTGCAGCTAAGCTCCACTGCAGCCTGGCTCTGATATCAACAGCAAAGTCGCATGTTCCCAGGGAAGCGTGGCCTCTGCCCTGGGCCAGAGCCCGGCACCCCAATATACCTACGTTCTTGGCATCCAGGGTGCGATCACCGCCCTGCCCAGTGCTTCTCTGGCCTCTTCTGTACTTTTTAGATGTTCCCTGAATGAGATCTTCTTTAGCTAATCAGCAAAAAAAAAAAAAAGAGTAAAGTTCAAAATATTTGATCAGCGAGGAGGGCGCCCTCTGCTCTGTGGGCGCCCCGACCCAGCGCCCCCTCTGCCTTGCAGGTGGCCATGGTGGAGGTGCAGCTGGAGACCCAGTACCAATACCCGCGGCCGCTGCTCATCGCCTTCAGCGCGTGCACCACGGTGCTGGTGGCCGTGCACCTGTTCGCGCTGCTCATCAGCACGTGCATCCTGCCCAACGTGGAGGCCGTGAGCAACATCCACAACCTCAACTCCATCAGCGAGTCTCCGCACGAGCGCATGCACCCCTACATCGAGCTGGCCTGGGGCTTCTCCACCGTGCTGGGCATCCTGCTCTTCCTGGCCGAGGTGGTACTGCTCTGCTGGATCAAGTTCCTGCCCGTGGACGCGCGCCACCAGCCCGGCCCTCCACCTGGCCCCGGGGGCCACACGGGCTGGCAGGCCGCCCTGGTGTCCACCATCATCATGGTGCCCGTGGGCCTCATCTTCGTGGTCTTCACCATCCACTTCTACCGCTCGCTGGTGCGCCACAAAACCGAGCGGCACAATCGCGAGATCGAGGAGCTGCACAAGCTCAAAGTGCAGCTGGATGGGCACGAGCGCAGCCTGCAGGTGGTGTGAGCGTGCACGCTCCTGGGCGGGGCCGATGCCGTGTGTCCGCGGCCGCATCCGCGTCAGCTCAGCGTCCACGCCTCGCTGGGAGGGAACAGAACTCGCTTGCGGTATGGGGAATTTCAGAAATGCAAATTGCCAACGGGGCTGCCGAGACACTGCCAGGTGGTTCAAGACCAAAGTTCTACTCCTGTCTTCATGCTGTAAGACCTGGATCGTTTTCCTTCAGAAGATGGAAATCTTCAGTTAAACGGGAGACTGATGCTAAGAGCTCAGGGGAAAGAAAGGACGAGTCCTTGGCCCTGGGCACTTCCTGAGGCTGGAGGCCGGGCTCCGAGTAGCACCGGGTGGTCACGGGTCACCTCGGAGACCTGGAGTGAGCAGCCAGCAGGGGCCGGGAGCCTGGCAGGGACCTGGAGAGTCGGGGTAGCACCATGGGATCAGGGAAGGGATTGCCCCGTGACTCCTGAGCTGGGCTGGTGGCAGCTGGGTGGCACGTCTGATGGTACCACCCTGCTACAATTAGACGGGGCACAGGCTTACAGCTTGGCCTGGTGCTTCCCTCCCTGCCCTGGAGGGAGCTGGGCGGCCTGGCTCGTGGGGCTGGGGAAGGAAGGCAGGAGCCCAGGGCACGTGGCCCAGCAGGCGTCAGACTTGCCAGGCCCTGGGGGAGCCGTCCAAGGGCGGAGGCCAGTCTGTGGGCGCCCACTGGAGGTGGCTGTTAACTGAGGGGTGCTCTGAGGCACACTGGGCTCAGATTCTTTCTTCCCTGCCAGCTGGATCCTTGGCCACATTGACCCAGCGAGGCCCCCAGGCTGGGGAAAGGGCCCAAAGTCCAGAGGCTTCCGTCTCTCGGCCACAGACTGTCCCCTGAGCCGCCAGCTGACCCTCCGGGCTGTGGCTGCAGAAGGCAGTGGCACTCTCACCCAGGCACCCGAGCCCGCCCACCTCCCTGCTGCCTGTGGCCCCCGGCAGCGGGAGGGGGCAGCCAGGGAACTTCCTGTCTAGACAAGGCCGTGACCGGGCCTGGTCTGTGGGTGGTAGCATCAGCGGCCAGCCCTGGCCAAACGTGGGTCCTGCTTATAATGACGGCAGGGAAGGTGAGACCCTGTGGAGAGCTCCCCTCCTGGGCCTCCTGGCCGCAAGCACAGGCCCAGCTCACACTTCTATGCAGCCATGCACAGCACAGGTTCTGGTGTTTTTCAGAAGGGCGTCTGGTAGACCTGAGCCCATGTTCTTGGACCGAACACATACATGCTACAGCTCAGCTTACGTGTGAGCCTGCTGCGCCCTGGGCCGCTTTTAAGAACCACATTTACCACACTGGCCAGCAGCCACCAGAGAGTGGTGCCTTTTCTTTTGTTTCAGTCACTGGACTTCATGCTCTGACGGCATTTCTGTCCACAGCCTGACATCTCTGTGGGGTCTGGGTTGCCTGTACCAAGAAGTGCGGGCAAGCCTGGCTGAGGTTTCTGGGACTGTGACATCCTGTTGAGAACCTGAACCTTAACACGTAACTGAATGCTGAGAATCACCAGTGCAAGTCATGGCATTTACGGGGAGCCTGGACATCGTGTCTTGCTGGGCCGGAGGAGAGCCCTAGCGCCTTCCAAAGGGCGTGTCCCTCGCATCCTCTGCAGACATCTGTCGTGACTTGCTTGCTCCCTAGCGCATGTCTCCTCTCCCAGAGCCTGGCTGAAAAGGTGTAATGCGTTTGCTTTGCAAAAGAATGTCAGCGGCACTGCAAGACGGCCACTTTGTGTCCTGGCAGGGACTAGAAAGGCTGGCTCCTGCCCACTGCTGGGAGGGGACGGCAGCCCCTTCCTCTGGCCTCAGGCTTTTGAGAGGGGCCTTGTTGGGCTCACTTCGGCCACCTTCCTGGGCCATCTGGTGCCCCTGCCCTGTGTGCCAGGCCCACGGAGTGCCGAGCTCCCCAGCCTGCGGCGAGCACACTCTGGGTGTCAGCCAGGGGCCAGCTGTTACACCTGGCCCATGGGCAGTTTTTCTAGCCTGGCCACATCAGGGTCAGACACTAGGTGCCAGTGACAGTGCCACGTGGGTAGGAAGGATGCCACATAATCACGTTTTCGACACTGATGAGGAGAATAATGTTCTTGTAATTTCTTGTTCTTCCTTCCAGCAAGCTCTCCCAGCTCCAGCCTTTCTAGTTCCCAGAGGCATGAGGCAAACTGAATTTGTGAGAACAGAGATGACTGTGGGCCTGGGGACTGATGATCGGGGGGTGCCCTCAGGACTGGAGAATAAGCTGCCATTTGGAGCTGCAGCAGGGCAGTCTGCGGAGGGGAGGGAAGCAAATTGCAGGCTAGAAATTTGGTTTCTGGAGGCCTAACCTGACTGTGAAGGGGGTTCCAAGTGCAGTGGCCTTTCTGTGTTGAGTGAGAGGCGCCACAGGCCGCCCCGGAGCCAGCGTGGGCTCGCCCTGTTTTCCTCTGAGCAGAGCCTTCCTGGTGCTCATTAAAACAAGTGCCCGCAGATACGCTGAGGCCCCTTCCAAAGTGGAACACGGTCTCCGTTTAGTACCTGACCAGGAGTTTCAAAACTCCAGCGTTTCTATTTTAGACAGACTGCCAGGGCAGAATGTATTTCAGGGTCTCTTCTAGGAAGGTCTGCTGAGGATAAAACTGCCTAAGCCTGGGCAGATCGAGGCTCATCTGCACTGCTCACCTGTCTTGTGCTGATTGATTCATTATGCATGAGGCTGTGGAGACCACATGCGGTGTGCACACCCCCTGTCCTGTGTATGGATTTTTAAAACAGTTGCCCTGGACTGAACTGAATAAATAAGTACCTAAGTTATGAATTGCTCTCTGCTCTTGGTGGAGCACTGTGGAGAGAGGTGATGCTTGGAAGCCCCTCCCTGCCAACCGCTGGTCACCAGTGTTCCGTATCCTGCACCCCATGGGGTCAAGCATGACCCGGGCAGAGTGCAACTCTGAAGCTGTCAGCAGCTCTGAAGTCAGTAGTAACAGTAATAACCTCACATCTTCTACCCATCCTGTTCTCCAATCCAACACGGTCCCTAAATGAAGGGACTGGGAGTTCCCTGGCAGTCCAGTGGTTAGGACTCTGCGCTTTCACTGCCGTGGGCCTGGGTTCAGTCCCTGGTCAGGGAACTAAGATCCTGCAAGCTGCGTGGCATGGCCAAAAGTAAATAAAATAAAAAATAATAAATAAATAAATGAAGGGCCTGCAGGCTGGGACATCGGGCAACCTTGTTAAGAGAGACAGATAAAGGAGAAAATGACCTGAAGTGGTACCAACGATTTTTAAGCTCAAAGTATGCCACTGCCCTCAAGCTGTGACAAACTAAACAACCCAGGCAAGTGGCCGCGGCGCAGGTCAAAGGGGACCGACTTGAGGCCCGTTCCCGTCGAGCCAGCTCGCGGACAGGGCTCGCGCTGCCGGGCACCGGGGTGTCAAGCAGTCTCCTCTTAAGACCTGAGAAAGACCCTCGGGCTGGGCGCCCCCTTCAATGCCGGCTAATGGTCCACTCTGGCGCCAGCTCCCGTCCCCGGGGAGGAGGCTCACGTGGGTCTCCCCTGAAAGGAGAGCGAGGTTTGCAGGAGCTCCTGCCCCAGTTCCCGCTGCCTCCCGCTGGGGCCAAACTCGGCTGACAGCTCCCTGAAGGTGGCGCTCACGCGGCGGGCCCCGATGTGCCTGCGGTGGATGGCATGCTTCCACTGGTGCCGCGCGGCTCGCGTGAGCACCAGCAGAGCGCGGCGGGGCAAGGGGACAGCCACCTCCACCTCCCGGCACGGGACAGACCTGCCGGGGGCCGTCGCGCCTTCCACCGGGGCCTGCGGGAAGCCGGACGGGGCCAGGCAGAGCAGCAGGCTGCCGGGCGCCTCCCGGGACATGGACAGCACAGTGGGGGACAGCAGGTTGAGGCTCACCAGCCGCTCCCCCCACAGCCAGGTGTCGTCCAGATGGGGGTCGATGGCCGAGCCCCGCTCCGGGCAGTAGTCCAGGTTACACTGCTCCACAGGCCGGAAGTCCTCCAGGACGGGGTAGAGGCCCATTCTCCGCACCACCTCCCGGCTGAAGCTGGGGAGGCCCCGGAAGCCGGCGGTCTTTAGCTTCTGTTTCCGAAAGTTGACTTTGGGGCCGTAGTCCTGAAGGATGAGGACAAAAAGGAAGTGGGAAATTGTCTGAGTTTACAGAAATGGCATCACACGCCAGGGCTGAAGCATCCAAGCACAGTGACCAAGACCAGCAAAGATTTCGGACTTCACGGAGCTGACATTCTGGCAGGAGGAGGCCAACACCAAGGAGATAAATATAAACAGCAGACATCAGATGGCGGTAAATGCTGAGGAGGAAAACAAAGCGGGGGGGGGGGGGGGTGAAGCATCGGGGGAACGTCGGCCCAGGTACCCCAGGAAGCAGAGCTGGAGACAAGAGGCCCATGCACGGGTGGCGTCCCCAGGACGTGGTGCTGGGGAGTCGGGAAGGAGCCGAGCGAGGCAGGGCAGGCCAGCCCACGGCAGCGTTACCCATCTGGTCAACACTGGGTGCAACTGGGCTTCAGGACCACAAGGGAGAAGAGTCTCCACAGGACCCAGCAGCAGTTCCACCCCTAGCCTCACACCCAAGAGAACTGAAAACACACGTCCACGCAGAAGTCTGTACTAGACTAGTCACAGCAGCAGTATTCATGACAGCCAAAAAGTAGAAACAACCCAAGTGTCCACCAACAGATGAATGATGAACAAAGAGTGGTCCATCCATCCAATGGAATAATATTCAGCCACGAAAAGCAATGCAGCATTGCTACAGGCTGCAAAGGGATGAACCCTGAGAACATTATGCTCAGTGAAAGATGCCCGATACAAAGGGTCACATGTTACATAATCCTAGGTATACGAATGTCCAGAAGAGGAAGATCCACAGAGACAGAAAGTAGATTAGTGCTTGCTGGGAAATGAGGGGATGCACAGGGACTGGTAATGGGTACGCATTTCCTCTGGGGTGATGAGAATGTTCCAGAACTAGACAGTGGCGATAGTTGCACAACACTGTGGATACACTGAAAACCAAACCAGTGAATTATACACTTGAAATGGGTGGATTTTATGGTGGGTGGCTTCTATTTAAAAAACAAAACAAAGACACCCTAGGGAGGAGCCTTGTAGATACACCTCAGGTCTGTGGCCTGAGGGATGGGGGGCATCTAGCCGCACCCCTGCTCCCTCGGGTCCCTGCCTCGTGGGGGGTGGCTCCATCTGCTGCTGGGGTCTTTCTCCTTCCCTGTTCCGCGTGGCGCAGTGCCGGGGCCCGCCGGCTCCTGCGGGCCACCCCAACTCCTTGGCAGCAGCAGGCAGAAAGGCTGGGACAGGCGGGCTGCGGCCAGGAGACTCCGAGGAACCCAGGAGGTGGGGGTGACTGCCGTGGGGACAGCAGACAGCAGCAGAGAAGACAAAGATCGGGCTGGCGGCCAGGGCAGGGCCTCCTGGGGCATGGTAAGGCCTCTGTGTTTGCGTTGAGATGGGAGGCCTGGAGGGCCTGTAACAGAGCAGTGACTCGATCCAACCGGATGTCGGTGGGATCACTTCCTCCCTACTGAAACCAACTGAGGAGGACCGAGGGCTGCCCAGGAAGTGCTAGAGGCAGGTGGTGGCAGCAGCAGGGGGTGTGTGTTCTCAGATTCAGGATATGTTTTGAAGGAATACAGAGCTGACAGGAATTACCAATGAAAGAGAGGAACGTGGAAAGATCCAGCGTTTCTGGCCTGAGCAGGTGAAAGATGGAATTTGCCAAGGTGGAGCCACGGCTCAGCTTAGGGATGCCAGGGCTGGAGATACGAGTGCGGGAGCCCCAAACTCACCGACGTGCGGGGCCGGGCCTCACTGAGATCAGTAAGGAGTGTCTGGAGAAGGAAAAGGAGAGGCCTGAGGACTGAGCCCGAGAACCAGCTGCAGGCTTTAGGCAGGAGGTGGGCGATGGAGGCAGTTTTTGAGAGGGTTAAGCGGCAGCAAGAAGAGAGGACCTGAAGAGAACAGAGAGCTCTCCTGAGAAGCTCTGCTGCAGAGACGAGAGAGACAGAGCTTACTGGGAGGCCGGTGGGAAAGAGCCAGCCTTGAGGACAGAAGGGGGCGATGCGGGACAAGGAGTTCCGAGGAGAAGGGCAGCATCCGGTGCGCAGCTGGAGTGGGGCTCGGGAAGAAGCTGGGCACAGGCGAGAAGGGAACGTCTGTAGATGCACCTGTTCCCTCAGAGAGGCCTGGTCGTCACGGGAGAGTGAGGAGGGGAAGGAGAGGTTTGGAAAGAGGGCAGCAAAGCGAACGACCTGCCGAGCGGGAAGGGCCCGGCTCGGGATGGAGAGCCAGAGCCAGGGTGGCCACCAGCAGGGGGCGCGGGTGCTGGACCCGACCAGGGCTGTGGGTGAGCAGAAAGAGCCTGTGCAAGCAGGAGGAGAAAGGGCGAGGGGCACCTGAGCAAGTGCCTGTACTAACTGGTCACAGAACTGAAGATGGGTGAGGACACATGACAGGAGGGGGAGGGAATGTGGAAAGGTGGCCGATGGCTGGTTCGCAGGTCCTGGAGGGGGCGAGGATTGCTGGGGGTGAGGAACAGAAAAGGAGAAGAGCGGACCCAGGGAGGAGGGGACTGTGCTGCCCGGCAAGGGAAGGTTCAGGATCTGGAGGCCCAAGTATCAGTGGGAAGAGGGCTGGGGAGACTAGAAACTGACGGGGAGAACTTTGGACAGGGGGGTAGGGGGATGGGGGGCAACTGGCAGCCTTCGAGAAACCCTCTGTGAGGGTCACCAGCACTAGGCCAGCTGGGGAGAGGGCAGAGAGAGCTGAGTGGCCATCTGCCTTTGAGCCCCGCCTCATGGGAAGGTGAGCAGGCCATGCCCAGGCCCCTGGCCCTGCCCCTTCCCAACACACCCCATTCAGCAGCCCTGCCCCCACCCCCCACCCCCGCCGACTGTCACCTAATGGCCCTGGGGAGTGGTGGGAGGTGGCTGCAAAGGAAGGCCCTGAGAGGGAGGTGAGCAAAGGGGCTCTGGGGTCAGGAGCCTGGCACGGCCCCGTGGTGTGACTGCCCTCTCTGGCCCAGCTCTGGCCCAGCCTACCTGCTTCCTCCGCCCGGACTGTGAGAGCTTCCAGGGGTCGCGGTCCATCAGCTGTACCATCTCAGCTTCTTCCGCCGGGGTCACAAAGTCCTCGATCAGTGTCACGCCTGGGAAGGGGAAGGCCCAGCCTTCAAAGTCGGACTCCTCGGCCCCCACAGCCCAGCCGGTGTCGGCGTAGTAAATGAACCGGTGTGTTTTCTGCAAAAGAAAGACAGGGATGGGAATTCCCTGGCTGTCCAGTGGTTAGGATTCGGCGCTTTCACTGCGAGGAACCCAGGTTCGATCCCTGGTCAGGGAACTAATATCCCGGATGCCACTTGGTGCGGCAAAAAAAAAAAAAAAAAAAAGGGGACAGGGGTCCTGGAGTCACTGGAGCCCTTCCACACACTGCACACACACGCCCCGAGAGGCAGCCCCACCCAGCATTGCACCATCCCCTGCAGCACTTTGGGAGGCAGCTGGAGTCTAGAGGGAGGCGGGACCCCTGCCCAGGGCCGCCTCCTGGGAAAGGCCCTCAGCCCCTGCCTTTCTCACTTTCCCGGCTGTAAAAGGGAAGAGAGTAGGCAGAACCATTCTTTCATCCTCCATTTTACAGATGAGGTGACTGAGGCTCCGCAAAGTTAAGGAACTAGCCTGAGGCTGCACAGCTGGGGCGCAGCCTCCGAGGCCACACTGTTCCTGTGTCGCTGTGGGGCACTGTCTGCCCTCCCCAGGCTGGTGAGGGCTAAAGAGGAGGACTGTGTGAAGGCAGCCAGCCCTGACCAGGAGCTGGAGAAATCTGCTCCCCTAAAGCTGAGGCCACGGGCCTGCCCAGGAGGTGAGCAGCACATGCTGGGAGGCCAGAGGGAGAAGCCCTTTCCGGCCACAGTGTGGGTATCTCTGGGGCCTGCCCTACACTGTGGCAGCCACTGGCGCTGCCTGAATTTCCCATCAAAAAAGAGCAGGGCCTCCCTGGTGGCGCAGTGGTTGAGAGTCCGCCTGCCGATGCAGGGGACGCGGGTTCGTGCCCCGGTCCGGGAAGATCCCACATGCCGCGGAGCGGCTGGGCCTGTGAGCCATGGCCGCTGAGCCTGCGCGTCCAGAGCCTGTGCTCTGCAACGGGAGAGGCCACAACAGTGAGAGGCCCGCGTACCGCAAAAAAAAACAAACAAAAGAAAGATCAAAACTGGGAGTTCCCTGGCAGTCTAGTGGTTAGGATTAGGTGCTTTCACCATCATGGCCTCAGTTCAATCCTTGGTCGGGGAACTGAGATCCCGCAAGCTGAGTGGCACGGCCCCATACATACATACGTACATAAAATTTTGGGAAAAAAACCCACAAAAAACAGAGCAGAAGTTGCCAGTCACCCAGAGGAGTGCCAGGCTGACAACCTCCTGTGGCAGAGCCTTCAGGATCTGCCTCTGGTTCTGAGCAGAGGCCACCCTTCTCCTGGGCCTCCAGCCAGTGACCCAGCACAGGCCTGGCCATTTCTGCCCAGCGTGGGACTGCCTACCAGGCCGTCTTTGCTCCGGAGCTTCCGGTTGTGTTGGCCAGGACTCTGTCAGATCTACAGGGCAGTCTGAGGTGTTCCCTGCCCAGTGAATTCTGCGTCCTCCCGCTTTATGTTCTACAGGCATCGCCAGCACCCACACCCCAACCCTGAACCACCATGTCTCTGTCTCCTGGCACCTCACATGGGACACACGGAAAGTTAAGGGGTCATCCCGTACATTTCACTCGTCCCTCAGCCATCAGGTTGGGAAGATGCTACCCCCACGGTGCCCTGAGCCTCCACGCCCACGGCCATGGGCACAGTTCAGACCTTTGGCAAGGTCTGAAAAACTCTTTTTTAAGAAAGTTTTAAACTGTGGTCAAATATATACAACCACATATACGTTATACATTTAAAATTGATCCTCAGCCACATTTTAAGTGCACATTTCAGTGTGTTAAGTATATCACATTGTTGTACAACCAATCTCCAGAACTTTCTCACCCTGCAAAACTAAATCTACCCATTAACACCTCTCCCCCTCCCTTCCCCCCGCTGCTGGCACCCACCATTCTTTTCTGTCTCTGTGAATCTGACGACTTCGGATGCATTACATAAGTGGAATCATACAGTATGTCTTCCGACTGGCTTATTTCACTCAGCATAACGTCCTCAGGGTTCATCTGTGTGGTGGCACGTGCCAGACTTTCCTTTCTTCCTTTTTTAGGACTGAATGATATTCCACTGTACGGATGGACCACATTTTGTTCTTCCTTTCGTCTGTGCGTGGACACTCCGGCTGCTTCCACCTTTTAGCTATTGTGAGTAACTCTGCTATGAACATGGGTGTACAGATGTCTCTTCATGACCCTGCTTTCAATTCTTTTGGGACCATATCCAGAAGCGGGATTGCTGGGTCATATGGTAGCTCTACATTTAATTTTCTGAGGAACCGCCACTGTTTTTCACAGGACCTTCTGAGCTTTTGTCACGGACACTGTGACAGTTTCTTCACTGGCTTCCCAGCCTCCTTTCCTTCCTATCCACCCCTCCCCTTCCCAGGATCTTTCTAAAATTCACAGGTAACTTCCTTTAAAACCCTCAAGAGCTCGCCATGGCCCTCAGAACAGGTCCCGCCTGCCTTCCGTGGTCAGGCCCCCCCGACCTCATCTGCCTCACCTGAAGCATCATCCGCCTTCCCCAGGCCTTGGCCCGGCTGGAAGGCCCTTGCCCCGCTCAAAGCCTCCGAGTCCTCTTTTGTTAATTCGTTGGAATGAGTTTCCTCCTTGCCCGTTTCCGTCCAAGGCCTTCTGGGGCCCTCTGCCCTGGTTTTCAGCACCCCCTACTCTCTCCGTGTCGTCTAACCACGAGCCCGTGAAGCTTCCAGCCCCAGACACGGGGGGGCTACGTTTGCTGTCAGACTCCCCCCGGGTTCCAGAGGTGAGCTGTGGTCGGACTGCATCCACGTCCCAGCCCCTTTCCCACTCCAGGCCCACTGCTCAAAGCCCTCATCTCCTCACCCCGCAACGCCCCCATCGCCAGGGCCGCTGACACGGTTTGATCCGGAGCCCGTCTTCACGGTCAACCCGGGCCTCAGTTTCCCCGGAGGAAGAACGGAGTTGTGGGCGCGGCCCCTCTCCCAGCCCTCACCTGGTGCTGCCAGGGCTGGTCACCTCCGCGCTGCCGCTCGCAGATTAGACAGGTCCGGATACCCTTGCAACCACATTCCCGAAGGACCTCTGGGGCCGCCACCGCCGCAGCCGCCATCGCCGCGTCCTGGCAGCCAGGGCGCAGGCGCGGGACCGCGGGCGCCGCTGGGAGTTGTAGTGCGCGCGCAGGGTACGAGGTCCGCGCGGCCGCTTCCTTCCGGTCGCCGCCGCCGACGGATTCGCGCGGCGCCACCTCCTGGAATCGGACAACCGCCGGCGCCAGCACCGGATTCGCGTGCTGTCGATCAGGTCCCCGTGGGCCGCGCCTCCTCGCCATGGGCCCCCTGTCGGCGCGGCTGCTGATCCAGCGGGGGCGACCCAAGTGCGACCGGCTGGGGAAGATCCGGAGCCTGGAGTAAGGGCCGGGGCCACACCGCCCTCCACCAGGGCCTGGGTCGGCGGACGGTCGGGAAGAAAGCCTGGGACCGTTCCTCTCTCCCTGCCCGGCCCCGTTATCACCCTGTCGGTTCGACAGAGTCTTTAATCATTCGGGACAAACGCCGTTCTCTCGTTATGAGATGGGTCGGGTAGGCCCGGAGCGGCATTACCTCAGAAGAGGGTCCGGGCTGCTAGGGAGACAGTCTTGCAGAAAGAATATGGAGCAACCTGTTGAGAGAATTACAGAGGACTGGGGAGCACAGAAAGCCCCCCTAGAGGATCAGGAAAAGCATCCTGCAGGGGGCCAGCTGCCCCAAGTTATAAAGTAGGGACAGGGTTAAAGTAAGTGGGGGAATGTGCCGGATCGGCTATGCACGCAGGAGAAATGTCAGGTGCCAAAGCCGTCGGAGGCAACCTGGGCTGCCGTGCGTGCGGGGTGGGAGGCCTGCCTGCCCCCTGAGCCCGCCCTGTCTGCCCCTCTCCCCAGCCTGTCAGGGATGAATCTGCTCTCAGAGCACTTGGACCCCAAGCTGCTGAGCCGCCTGAAGCAGCTGCAAGAGCTGGACCTCTCCAACAACCAACTGGAGACGCTGCCCGCCAACCTGGGCCTGTCCCACCTGCGCATCCTCCGCTGCGCCAACAACCAGTTGGGCGATGTCACTGTCCTGTGCCAGTTCCCACAGCTCGAGGAGCTCAGCCTGGAGGGCAACCCCTTTCTGACAGTAAGTGGGCGGCCCCGCATCCCGGGCCAGCACCCTGGGGGCTCGGGCTCAGCCACAGGCTGGGGTGACCCCGAGCCACTCTCCTCCCTCATCCCCCAGGTCAGTGACAACCTGAAAGTTTCCTTCCTCCTGCCCAAGCTCCGTAAGGTCAACGGCAAGGACGCCTCCTCCACTTGCTCTCAGGTGGAGAACCTGAACCGGGAGCTGACCAGCAGGGTAAGGGGCGGGGCGGTGTCTCTGGTGGTTGGGAGCAGTCGGGGCCTTGAGGAGTGAGTGACAGAACTGGACATTTGGAGGACACCAAGGGGGGTTACAGGGGCTCTCTGTCCCAACCCCAAGTGGCCCTGAGCCCCTAGCCCGACCTGTTGCTTTGAGCTTGGCTGTGGCGCTTGGCCTCTTGTCCTTGGAGGTCCTGCCCTGGCAGGGGAGGCTGGGATGCTTTCACGGTGACTTTACCCTGGGCCAGCTCCTCCCTTCAGGGGCTGTCTCTCCCTCTGTGTTGCTTGGGTTTGTGCAACCTGCAGCTGAGAAAGCTGTGATTCGGGGAGGCATCCCAGAGGCGGTGAGGTTGAGACAGCTCTGGCCCTGAGATTAGAGGCAAAGGTGCCACAGAAGGTCCAGGAGAGCCGGGGTGGGCTGAGCCTGAATCTGGTCCCTCTCGTGCCAGGTCACAGCTCACTGGGAGAAGTTCATGGCCGCACTGAGCCCAGAGGAGGAGGCTGAGAACGCCCAGGCAGACTTTGTGAGGTCGGCCGTCAGAGACGTCCGCTATGGGCCCGAGTCCCTCAGCGACTTCACCCAGTGGAGGGTATGTCCTCACCCCGCTGTGCTGGGAGTCGCTTCTCCCAGCTCCTCCCTGGCTGCCACAGCCTGAGCCGCCCTGGAGGTCTCTGGCCATGAGGGGATGTGGGGAGTGGGCAGGTCAGGGAAGGAAGCCCTATGGGCTGGAAGGACTCTTCCCCAGCTCGGGAAGCACCCTCTGACTGGGCGTCTGGGGAGGGGCTGGAGGCCCCCGGGATGTGCTCAGCTTCCTGATGGCCTGGCCCCACCCAGGTGCGGATGATCTCTGAGGAGCTGGTGGCCTCTGCTGGGACTCAGGTGCATGAGGCAAACATCTCAGAGAGGCCCCCAAAAGCCACCGCTATCCAGGAGCCTAGGGTGAGTGGGCTCCCGGGCTCCCAGGGCCTGCCCTGGCCCTTCCTGCCTCGGGAGGCATTAGGAAGGCGTCCTGGCAGTATGCCCAGGAGATGGCCTCCTATGCTCGAGCTGGTTCCCTCTGACCCTGGTACCCCTGGCCTCCCGTACCCATGGGAGGGTGCAGTCCAGCCTCTGATGGGGAGGAAGGAAGCCCTGGGCAGATGGACACATGGTCACCAGGCCCTCGGGTTGCCCCCACCCCCTCCTCCACAGGCCGGGCCAGTGGCCTCAAAGCGGCCAGGTGATGGCCCAGTCAACCTCTCTCCCAACAAGCGGGTGTGCAGCTCCCCGTTGGCCCAGGTGGAGGGCAGCCCTGTGGGCTCTGCTAGCAGCCAGGTGAGCTAGCAAGGTGGCAGGGGGCGTGTGGTGGGAGCAAGGCCCGGGGGCAGCCATGACGCCCCTCTGCTCCCACAGACTGCCCTGCAGCTGGAGCCCCTGCACTTCCTGCAGTGCCACAGCAAGAACAACAGCCCTCGTGACCTGGAGACCCAGCTCTGGGCCTGCGCCTTCGAGCCAGCCTGGGACGAGGGCACGTCCTCGGGGGGCAGGCGGGGCGAGGGCCACAGGGAACAAGCAGGGCAAGCTTTCTGGGCACGGGGCCTGGGAACACCACGTGCAGGGGCCACCTGGGTGAACGGGGGAATCGGGAGGGACAGAGAGCTCAGAGTGTCCTCAGGGTCAGGAGGAGGGGCTGCAGTGGGTCACCAGGCTGACCTCTCAAACAGGGCAGGCAGGGGCCACGTCCCAGACCGTGGCCACGTGTGGCGGGGAGGCCGTGTGTGTGATCGACTGCCAGACGGGCATCGTACTGCACAAGTACAAGGCGCCTAGTGAGGTGAGTGCCGGGGCCCTGCTCCTGCAGGGTGGCAGGCAGAGCCTTGGCTCCTGGGGGTAGGAGCGCTGGGGTCAGGGGGCCAGACTCGGCCACCTACTCACCAGGTGACCTTTTTCTTTGATGCTGGGCTCCTGTTCCGGGCCTGATCCTGCACGCGTGTAGCTCTGCCCCTCGGTGAGCCCTCCCCTTCCCTCCCCAGGAGTTCTTCTCAGTGGCCTGGACGGCCCTGACGGTGGTCACACAGGCAGGCCACAAGAAGCGCTGGAGCGTGCTGGCAGCTGCAGGCCTGCGGGGCCTGGTCCGGCTGCTGCACGTGCGGGCCGGCTTCTGCTGCGGGCTCATCCGGGCCCACAAGAAGGCCATTGCGACTCTCTGTTTCAGCCCCACACACGAGACCCACCTCTTCAGTAAGACCCCCTCCCCGAACCTCCGGGGCTCCCTTAGCACCCGTCCTGCAGCCTGACGCCTCAGGACTCCTTCCTGGGATGGCAGGGAGCTCCTGTGGCTGGCGGGCCTCATGCTGGCTGCCGAGGTCAGCGCAGACCGGTAGGAACATCAGGGCTTCATGGACAACTGACCAGGCTTCAGATTCTGTCTCTTCCCCCAACCTGCTCTGTGGCTTTGGAGGTTTCTGACAACCTGGGCCACGTCTGTGACCTGGGGACCTGGGTGGATCCCCTGGCCCTCTGGGTGTGATGAGGGTGATATCTGAGCAGAGACTTCGGGAAGTGGCTGCGTGGCGTGGGGCACATAGGTTAGAGTAAGATAAGGATGGTAGGCCCTGGAGTCTTTCTCCCAGCCGTGGCCCTCCCTCCCTGCCTTGGGGCCGTGGTCTCAGCCTGGGATGCAGCCTGCAGGAGGGAGCAGGGCCTCCTCAGGGCCACCTCTCTCCTTCCCATCCCCTCCTCAGCGGCCTCCTATGACAAGCGGATCATCCTCTGGGACATCGGGGTGCCCAACCACGATTACGAATTCCAGGCCAGGTGATGCTTTGCGGCAGGACTTTGGGGGATGGGCGTGGGGGTGGGCACACACCTGAGTTTGTGGCCTCACGCCCTCCCTCTCACCTGCCGGCAGCCAGCTGCTCACACTCGACACCACCTCCATCGCCCTGCGCCTCTGCCCCGTCGCCTCCTGCCCAGATGCCTACCTGCTGGCTGGCTGTGAGGGCGGCTGCCGTTGCTGGGACGTGCGGCTGGACCAGCCTCAGAAGAGGAGGTGAGAACGGGCAGGGGTGCCCTGAAAGCCAGTCCTCGGAGCCGGGCAGCCCCCAGTCCAGGTGTCTGACCCCAGGCACGCCTGCTGCAGTGATGCCCGCACCACGCCCCCTGCCCTGGGCAGCCAGAGGCTGTTTTCACGGGCCTCCTCAGAGCTGTCCTGTCCCCACCTCCTGCCCATCTCTTGAGGAAAGGTCCATTTCCTCTCTAGGCTTGATCACCTCATCTCTGCCCAGGTCCTGCCACTCACCAGCAGTGTGACCTTCCTCTGCCCAACATGATTTTGTCATCCACAAAGTGGGGACAGTAACTCACATCCCAGGGCTAGTGGAGGACAACGGGACGGTGTCTGGGCCAGGAGAAGGGCCAGAAGGGCCCGGTGGAGGCGTGTGGCTCTTCTGTATCACCTGGAAGGCCTGAGACAGTGCTCGGCAGGGGTCCCCTGGCCTTGTGGGGCCCAGAGCCTGGTGGGGGAGACAGGCATTAAAACCCCCCAGAGTGTGATTGATGTCAGCTACAGAGAAAGGAGAATAAGGTGCTCCGAGAGGAGCAGGGAGGCCGAGGGGACTCCGAGGTGACCAGTGGCGGATGGACAGGTCCTCAGGCTCATGCTCTCCATGAGTCCCAAGGGAGTCAGGTGGGCAGAGGCAGGAAGGGTGCTCACGCGGGGGAAGTGCAAAGGGCCAGTGGCAGGGACAGCTGGCTGACCAGGGAGAGCTGGCCACAGCTTGGAGAACTGGAGGGATTGGCACAAGGTGATGTGGCAAGGTTGCCTGGGCCAGAGGATATACTGG